ATTCAGCCGCTGTTGAAACTGATCAGTTTCAGCAGCGGCTGAATCTGGACGCCAGTTCTGACTTACATACAGATTCAACTTAAGAACAAACCTACAGTCCCTATCTTGTACTTAACCCGGGGACTGCCTGTACATTGACAGGTTCTCTCCAAATCATCACAACATAACTTTCACTTAAGCAACTTCAAAAATGTTCATTCTATATCTCCTCCTATCAGAAGCTCACTTTGGTTTAAATCTGAACGTTTAAAAGGTTTAAAATTAAAGCTTGAAAGCAGCTGGCAATTTTTGGAAGCATGTAAAGCAAAACAGGCGAGAATGGGAAGCATAGTTGGTGTAGAATCAATGTAACCCACTGTGACACATTATAGAGAGGCAGTCATTAAGGGTGCAGTCTACTTCCGTTAAGCCCTATTTTGTTCTCCTGTAACTTTGGCTAGGAAGATTGGTTGCGCCTGACCTGAAAATTGTTTAATTTACTCTGACATCAAAGCAGAATGAGAAATGGGTGAGGAATGTGGCATTAAAATCTACCCCAATTTTGAAAGCATGGCTTTTGTCTACCATTTCTGTTTTTTTAATACACAACTCATAAGAATGTACAGTAAGTCAGAATGTACAGCAAACCACTGGCTGGTTTGAAAATTTGTTTCTTAAAAATGACATTGCATTACTTTGTACCCCTTTGGCTCCTGTCTTCTCTTCAGTTTCCCCTGGTCCCAATTACCTCCCCCCCACAGCAAGTGACCTCTTTTTGCCCATATATGGAGTTCATTCTTCTTTAATGGCTGTTCAGTGACCTACTCCCCCAGATGGTTGTTTCTCTCAATTAGTTCTCAGGTCCACCCTCTCCCCAAGACACATGCTGCTGATCTGAATGCATGACATCCCTTTGGGGGGGCATATCTGACAGGTGGGATTATACCAACTTAATTCTTTCCAGTGGCCACTTTCCATTCAATTTTAATATTATTTTCTTGAAGAGAAGGTAGGCAGTGATGATCACTTCTAAACTTAACACATCTCTCAGGATCCAATCCTGTAAATCTTTGCTTATCTGTGTTGTCTTGATTTCAGTGAGACTACTCATATGAGTAATGGATATGTGCACAACTATAGGGATTACAAGATCAAGCCAACACTGAGTTGTATAAACACAGTAAGCCACTGTAATTCTGGGGCACAGTCAGATGAGGGAAATAATGAGACCACATAAGCAGAGGCTAACTAATGTAGCAAAAATTAATAAATAACTGTATCAAGTCTTCAATATCCAAACATGAGGTTTGGATGATCTTAAATTTTTTTAACCTAAGACTCAAATATTCATAGTGAGGGAAGGGCTGCTTAAATTTCCATTACAGCACAAATAATGCG